AGACGCACATCGAGCTTCTATCTACTGGGACAAAAACATGAGCTGTGTGTGGAGTGACGCCACATTTCCATCACAGTTTCTATGTTGTTTTTCATCATTTGAGGTTTGACTGGAGCTCTTTCATCACCTTGCTGTGGTTTCCTCATGCAGTGGTTTGAATGCACCTGACTGGAGAAACTGGTGAAATCTGCTGTTACTGGTGACAAACCAGCTCCTAACATAATACCAGTTAGTTTTCATTGTTTTTGCATTCAGTCATTTTAGAATAATTGAATACAAACCTTGGAAATTACACGATTTTCTGAAAATAATCTTATTATCGAAGTCACTGACATAATCAATGTGCTTGAGCTACTAACACACAGAGATTTACAGGTTTGTGTGTCCGTATTGACAACACCGGTTAAACATTCCCAATAGTGGTGGAAAAAGAAGTTAGATTTATAAGAAATAAAGCTAATTTCTCTAACTCCAACCCACAGCAGACTTGCTCACGCCTAACGCCACTTTATTCCTAAAGTCCTGCACTTCTATAAAAACAGCGCCACTCTGGCTAGAAGTGGAGAGAGTTCAGCTGTATGAAATAGTTCAAGCAGTGGTAGTTCAAGGACCATTAGAAAGTTGGAAATCTGAGTATTCAGGTTTATGATCAACTGTGTTATTTTGACATTTTCTTAAAGAGAACATGCTTTGAGGTTTAATATGGAAGGACAGAAATGGATGTTAAACAGTTAGTGTGGTTTATGTTACTCATTACCACCTGGGGCTGCAAGGTGGATCAGTGGTTAGCACTGTTGTCTCGGAGAAAGAAGGTCACCGGTTCGCGTCCCGGTGAGGATCTTTCTGCGTGGGGTTTGCATGTTCTCCCCGTGCAGCGTGGGTTCTCTCCGGGTTCTCCAGCTTCCTCCCACACAGTCCAAAAACATGTTGAGGTTAATTGGTGATTCTAAATTGTCCGTAGGTATGAATGTGAGTGTGCTTGGTTGTCTGTCTCTAAGTGTAGCCCTGTGATAGACTGGTGACCTGTCCAGGGTGTCCCCTGCCTTCGCCCTGAGTCAGCTGGGATTGACTCCAGCCCCCCATGACCCTAGTGAGGATTGTATAGATAATGGATGGATGGATTTCATTAAAACTGTCCAGCTTAATTAAAATTCTGTTCTTGACAAATCTGTTCAGCTCAAATAGGTCAGGTTACATTATTTATCAGCACGATTCATCTCGTGGTTTGATTTGACTTAATTTCAGCTCCACGTCTTGTTTGGAGACCCACATCAGCCTTTCTTCATGTGGGAACAGTAAATGCGGTACTTCTTTGGATGTTGCTTTATGAAGTGTTGTAAATCAGTGGAGATGGAGCTCACATGCATGACTCACAGACACAGAAAAAAAAAAAGAATAAAGCCAGTGTTCACCTTTACTGAAACCAGCAAAGGAGTCAGTGGAAGTAAACTGAGTAAAAGGGTCAGAAAAAAGCCCAAAAAACAGGCAGGGAACCCAAAGTTGGCAGATGATCAGAAAAGAAAAGGCTGGACAGCTCCAGCAGGTAGAGCACGGCTGTCAGGAAGGCAGGGAGTGTGTGAACCGGGACTGGTATAAATACTGAGGGAGCTAATGAGGGGATGTGGAGCAGGTGAGTCAGCAGGTGTGAGGAATCAGGTGAGTGGAAACGAAGGCAAAGACTGAGGTTACTGCAGGAGATGGGAGGGAGGCAGGACTGTGGAGCATTTAGAAAGAAAGGTTTTGATGCAAACCAACGGCTCGTGTATTGTAACGGCAGGTAGTGGTTATAACCAAACAACAGCAGGCTGTTGGACTGAGGAGCATCACATTTCAGACTTGATTTGGACTTTAAATTCAGCTAAACATTCAGACTGACCCTAGTGAAGATTAAGCAGTGTATAGATGATGGATGGATGCTCAGTTATAGGCTGAAGGAGACACAGTATAGCACGGAGTGAAGGAATTTCTCCAATGTCATACTGCATTGGTGGGTGACACAAAGCATTTCAATGCATCCAAAGTCTCATCTGAATTCTATACATGTGTAAGCATATAGGCTGTATTGTACCAACAAGGTCAACTTCATGAATTATACACGTGATAAGGTTGTTTGTTATAGTCTAGTGCGGTATGGATGGATGGATGGTTGCCTCATTCACCCCCATGTGGGATTTCAAGGTATTCAGTAGCTCACACGTGTTACATTCAAGATAAGGAAATAATGGTCGGAGAAACAGAAATAAGGTGCCAAAACTGCTGGTATTTACAAAACAGGTGTAAAAATTGTCAGGATTTACAATAAAATATAGTGTGAGAAAAGTACGAAAAGGCCCAGTGTGAAAGTAGAACTGGTAATGAGCATATCTGAAGGGTGCTTGGTTCCAGATGGATGAGGGTTATTGGTTTTATCGCACAGTCACTGGAGTGTAGCAGCCAAGAGCCCAGGTCACGAGCCGCTGCCCTCGATGTGTTAGAATAACATAAAAGAACAGTATTTCAGTAGCACTTTTCTAAAGCAAAGTTTCACGGTGCTGCACAAAGCAGACATTAAAATACAAGCAAGGAAAACTCCCAATATATAGAAGAAGAAAAATACAATAAGCACAGTTCAATGGATGAGGGACGATCGAGTCAACATGGTAATGATATTTAAAGAACTAACAAAATAGGCACAACAGAAGCAGTTAATAAAAGGTTTCAGGGCACAAACAGCTGGATAACTTCTGTTCACGAGGAGAAATTCAGGAACTGTTAGAAATTTCCTGGAATAGGACCTGCCATCAGTCTCATAAGGAGCTAAAAGATTTGAAATGCTTGGCTGTGTGAGGCTTTAAAAACAAGCATCTCGTAAAATCAATTCTAAAACTAAGTGGTAACCAGTGAAGGCCGCCACGAAGTAGAGTTATGTGGTTGCTCCAACTTAAAGCCCATAAACGTTTCCCCGCTGATGCCGGAGTAAAGCGGTAAATGATTCTGGAGTCGATGAATGTGCGACTGAGCTTTTCTGAGCCTGAAAAAGATAAAACTAATACAACCTTCGAGATCAGCCTAAGCCCAAGTTTGTGACTTGAGTACTAAAAGAAAGACGTGACTCCAAGTCTCCACCGAGACGTCGGGCGTCTTGTTGGAAATTGTTGACTGATGGGCTCCATGAGAAATCAAACGATCAGTGTTATTTGAGAGCTAGAGGGAGTGATTATGATGCTTTGGAGCCATCGAGGCTGACATCCAGTATTTAATGTCAGACAGGCAAGACGATAATGTATCATATCATTCCTACTGGGATTAAGTGGTAGAGTACAGCTGTGCATTAGAATGATGATAACTGTTACTGAAAGCACGCTGAGTCAGTTTTATGACAAAGTAAAGGGTGTTCACTTCTGACAGCGTTGTGGGGATGTTATCAGCTCACTGCTCCTGCTCCAAACTACCACCATTCTTCAAAAAATCCCATTGGTTGACCTCTACTCTCTACTGGAGGTCTAACTAAAGATTGTGACGGCCCGTGTACGGTGGCTGTGCGGGCGGACCCGACGAAAAGGGGAGTCAGGAGAAACAGGTTATAATGAAAAGGTTTTATTAATAAGGGTGAGGGAGTGGGGGTCACCAGGAGCAGGAACCAGATGCAGGAGTGTCAGTCGAGGGGGGTGCAGGTGGAGGTTTGTCCGTGCTGGGATCCGAGGAGGGGGAAGTGCCGCCGAGGTAGTGCTGGAGAGGGAGGCGTGGAGGAATCCGAGGACGGTGCTCAGGGGACGGTGCCCGAGGTGCTTCTTCCCGGTGGAGGTTTTCCTAGTGCAGGTGCTTGTAGAAGGAGAACTTTTCGTGAGGGTGCTCGTTGCGGTGGACTCCGTGGTGAAGCTGGAGAGGGTTACGGCTGGTGTGGCTCGTGAAACGCTGGAGGCTGGAGTCGAAGAGGGAACGCTGGAGGCAAACAAAAACACACAAATTACTCGAGACTCGAAAATACTTAAACTTAGTTATAATGTTTCGCGGAGGAGAGCAACTAAGCGGCCTGGCTGGATGAATCACAATCATCTGGCGCTGGAGATCTGTGAGAAGCTTGTATTTCAGGAGCTCCGCTGATGAGCTGATGAGTTGCACCTGCCAGAAAATCCTCTCCCCTTTGGCTCCGCCCAGCCTGCCGAGAAAACACACACCCACCAAGACACAAACACAGGAGACAGAGAAAAACCCACAAGACACAAAACATATTCCATAACCCTCACAAAGACGGCTCCACGATCCGCTGTTTCAGACCCACATGTTTCAGTTTAAGCATCTTATTTTACGATTTTTTGATTTTAACGCAGTTTTTTCCGTGTTCATGTCACATCTGCTGCTCTGGCTTCCATTTGATTCTAGGTTATATAGTGAAGCACATCTATTCTTAAAATGTGCTACATAAACAATTCCAGTTAATTACAGGCTAAAGACCGACACCTGAACGGTAAAATCAATTCATTTCATTCAAATCGGTGCCATCTGTGGATTCCTTGCCGTGAAAGAAAAACCTGTGCAATTTGTTTGTGTCTGGTTCCACTTTTGAAAACTCTGACATCCAAATTAGCACCTCAGAAATAAATATGGTCATTATAAAACAATTATCACACATTACAGCACATATTGGATGCTCATTATAGCCTCACACTGCAACACTACAGGTATCAAACCACAATCCTCGACCTCGTCCGATGGATTCGCTCCGCAGCTCATTGAGCTATAATTACCCCCATGTTACATCACCGCTACATCCACTGGGTTTTGCATTTTTTAAAGTGTGAACTGCGCTTTTTTTCTGCGTCCAGCATCTGAAAAATTCAGTCAGTTCTACTGAGACTAAATAAGTCCCCGGTTTCTTCTCTCTTTCTGTCTCTCTGCCTGAATTTGATTGTGATCTGAGGTTGTTGTCAGATTTCCTGAAAGGTTTTCTACTGCGGGCTTTCTTGTTGCTTTGTTTGGTTTGTAGACGTTGTATTGACTTTCCTCTCCGTCTCCGTCAGGTATAAGGCCATAGTGAACCCCATGGACATCCAGACGTCCAGCGCGGTCTTCTGGACGTGTCTGAAAGCTGTTTCCATCTGGCTGCTGTCCGTCCTGCTGGCTGTTCCTGAGGCCATTTTCTCACAAGTCGTCTCCATGCAGGTAAAATAACGAAATAAACAAAATATAGCGGATACTGCAAACAGCACTGCTACTCATCAGCATATATCTGCAACATCTGCACACAAGGTTCCTTCACATTGAAGGTCTTAATTTAACTAAATCAGTCTGAATACAGTATGAAATGCTGCACAACACACTAGAAAGCCTGTAACGCTGCTGCTCCTTCCAAACCTGGACGTCCATGTTGCCCTTCAAACACAGCTTCCCACTGTCCTCCTCCTCTTCTGATGTTTGTTGTCTGTGGCCACAGTAAGGTTATTGTTCAGATGGATGAAGTGAGCTGATGATGTTTCTCTGCTCAGACACTCACATCATTCTGTCTGATCTCGTCAAAACTCCTACCGTGCAGGCGTGACTGTGTTAAAGCCAGAACTTGTGAGATTGTTGTTTTGTGGTGAATAAAAACCGCTTCTTTGAAAAACATTGTGAAACTGTTGAGACTGAAGAAACATTAAAGTTGTGGGATGAACCACTAAAACTACGAGCTAAAAGCTTCGTCAACTGAAACCCTGTCCTGGTGGATTTACGAAGGTTCTTTTTGGGTTCAGTTCTGTTGACAATGTTCAGGTTTCCTTACAGCAGATAACCTGTACCTGTGACACCTTTCATGTGGCCCGTTGTTGATGATTGATCAGTATGAGGTGGTGTCATGAAAATACTGCCAGGTTACCTTGAATGAAAAACAACACATTGCCGGGTTGTTGATGTCCACACCTGCTGTGGTGAACCTAAAGGGATTCAGATGAATAACTTGTGAGGCTTCATCCCATTTGGATGTCATTTGTAGGATATAAGGATCCTATAATCAGCCATGAGCCTGAACATGTGAAATCTCGTTCAGTCATGACAGCAGCTGAGATTCGTTCCGGGACACATGAATGATGGTTGTGCTCTCGTTCTTATATTACAAAAGCAAACCTGATGAATAAATCCCCTGAAATAACAATGATCACATGTCAGAGTGCTTCCAGAGTTCACAGAGAGGAGATTAAAATAAACCTCTGACAGACATAACAAATGTTCAAACGCTGAAGAATATAAGAGCAGAATAAATCAAACCACAGCTGTGATTTTTCATATTTTTACCTTCTGAAATAAAATAAATAAATCTTTTTGCTGTTCGTGGCAGCGGTCAATCAGTCACTGGCAGTAACCGCGGACTGGAAGCGTTTGCTGGCAGAGCGTCTGTGACATCTGTACATTCAGTCTAATGTGTGCTGTTCATCACTTCCAGCTGAAGGCTCATCTCTGACAGAGCAGTTTAAACTGAGCAGCATCATCTCAGTGGGGTTTCCCACCACACAAACACTCCCCTCCCGGCACCTCTAAACTCTTTTATAGTCAGATTTATGAATGAATGCGCCTCTATTTCACTCTGTAGTCTGTTTTATGATCCTCGCTGAGGTCGCTCCTCAGCGCTCTCCTCCTCCTCCTCCTGGACTCTTTCCTCAGTTTCATTTTCTGGTCCTATGCCTCTTTTCTTTTTGTTGCTCTTCTCTTTCCTCCCTGATGGATTCTATTCTCCTGACTTCCTTAATTTGTTTGTTGGCCTCCTTTCCTTTTCTTGTCACCTTTTCTCTTTTGGTTTGCTCTCCTCTTTTTCCTTCCTCCTTTACATTTTCTCCTTCCTTCTCCTTCTGTTTCTTCTTCTCCTTTCCTCATCTATTTTTTTTTCTTCTTCTCTCTTCCTTCTTCATCTTCTTTCTCTTCCCCACTTTATTCTTTTTTACTTTCTTCTCTCCCGTCTCATTCTTTCTTTGAAAAAAATCCCCTCTCCTTTCCTTATCTTATCTTTTCTTTTGTTCTCGAACACCTTTTCTTTTTTATATCATGTTTCCTCTGTTGTCTTCTCCTTGTCTCCTTTCCTCATTTCCTCTCCTTGTTTTCCCTTCTCAGGGCCACAGAGACAACACAAATGTCACCTTCGTGAACTGCGTGCCCTACCCGCTGTCCAATCAGATGCATCCTAAGATCCACTCGGTGATGATCTTCTTGGTTTACTTTCTCATTCCTCTGGCCATCATCTCGGTGTATTACTACCACATCGCCCGCACACTCATCAAGAGCGCCCACGACATGCCGGGAGAAGTCAGCGAACACACCAAGAGACAGGTGACGGATGGACGGATGGATGAATGAATAATGAATGAATGAATGAGCAGGTTTCAGAATGCCACGTCACACTTGGTCGAACATATGATCTGAAAGATTTCTAGTTTGAATCAATTTTCTGTGAAGAATAGTTTCTTTTGTTTGTTGTTTTTGTTGCTTTTCTCTAAGGTAAGATAAAGTAAGATTCGCCTGTATTTATCTCACAGTGGAGAAATTCACAGAGTTGTCAGCAGCAGGACACACAGAGACACACACACTGGAAAGAAAAAAATACATACAAGAAATAGTGCAAACATAAGTACAAAAATACACATAAAAAATAATAGTGCAAGCACAGAATATAACAATGAGGATATAAAAGATAAAAAAAATAATGCATAAAGATATAATAATAAGAATAATCAACAGTGCATATGCAAATAGTGGCTACAGAGTGATTTTCCATAGATTGTGTATCCCATTCTACAAAATGCCTCCTGAGGTTAAACGGTTGTTGAATGTGCAGCAACACATCCTATGAGTAACAAAACAAACAAAAAAAAGACAGTACTGGTTGATTATGCGACCCCCGTGACGACTGACGACAGCAGCAGATGGGTTTTAACAACACACCAACCTTGGGAAACTACAAGCATCCACTAGAGAAGGCAGAAAACTCACCTTGAGCAGCTCCTCTGTCAGAAACACAACAGAGGAAAAGCAACTCAGTTCCATTTAAACTGGAAAGTTAAACATTTCCAAGTTTAAAATTTCAACCTGTTGCCAGATTTCCAACTTGGAAAATCAGATAAACTTCACTTAACACAATCTAAAAATCCAAGATGCTTGATCTGCACATTAACAGTAATGAAAACAGTAGAAATGCACTGTTTGTTCTCTGATCAGCCCCAGTGCTGCCTGTTCACATGTTGCTGCAGTGTTCATACGTACAAAGTGTTCTGTTGTCAGCTGGTTTTGTAAACAACAGCCGACCTGTAAAGGTTTCTCTGGAGGTGTCCATCTTGGTTAGACACTTTCTTTCTTTTATCAAACAATGAGTATTTTTAAGTAGGAGCTATTTTTACCTTTGACATGTTTCCATCTTCCTCAGAAACATCACTGACGTCTGTGGTGACGTGTCATTATCAGCTGGTGGTTTCCTGGAGGCGTGACCCGCCTGGAAATCTGTCAGATTGGCCCGACGGGCCACGCCTCCTGCCGCCCGGTGGTCTTTGCTGGAGAGTGTGCCATGTGTGGAACAGCATGGACACCCCCTCATCACGGTTCATGGTGTCTTTGGCTCGCCTCCTGATTTCTATGACCTCCTTGATCCAACGGGTCACACCTCCAGGAAACAACCAGCTGATAACAACACGTCACCACAGACGTCAGGGATGTTTCTGAGGAAGACTGATTGTCTGATTAAAAAAAATAAGTACCTAATACCTATAATCATCCATCCATCCATCATCTATACACCACTTAAACCTCACTAGGGTCATGGGGGGCTGGAGTCTATCCCAGCTGACTCAGGGTGAAGGCAGGGGACACCCTGGACAGGTCACCAGTCTATCACAGGGCTACACTTAGAGACAGACAACCAAGCACACTCACATTCACACCTACGGACAATTTAGAATCACCAATTAACCTCAGCATGTTTTTGGACTGTGTGGGAGGAAGCCGGAGAACCCGGAGAGAACCCACGCTGCACGGGGAGAACATGGAGACTCCACACAGAAAGATCCCGGGTGTCCTCACCAGGACGCGAACTAGCAACCTTCTTGCTGCGAGGCAACAGTGCTAACCACCGAGCCACCTTGCAGCCCTTACTATAATCAGAGCAGACAAAATGAACCTAATCACATCCATCTTGGTTGTCCGACTTCTTTCTTGAATAGAAGCATAAGTCAGGACCAAAATGGTTTAACAAAACTGTATTTAACGCTCATTAGTCCTCAGACTCTCTGTTCAGACAAGGCAAAAGGCAACATTAGGTAATTAATGCTTCACAAGGAGTTTGAAGAAAGAAAACCACAGACAGACAGACAGATGAATGATAGATAATGTACTCTCAGAGCAGCCAAAGCGACATTCAGTGACGTTAACACAAATCTTTTATACACAGGACTTTAATAATGCAGCTCGTTATATTAAAAAACCTACAAGACCTAAACTACACCAAGACTCTCCTAAACCCAGGTAACAGCTTAAATTGGCTGCCAGTGTCTTTCTGGTCATTGTCAGAGCCCGACTGATGACGGAGGGGCGTCGTGCCCAAAAAAAACGTATCTGCTGAGTTTATATTTGCTAAAATATCTGCCACTGTTCCCAATGTCCTCTGAAAAACAGTCCACTCAACAAAAGCACTTCTGTCTGTGCTGTAATTCATCTCATTCACGTTTGTTTTCTTGTTTCATTAATGTAATTCTTTTTAATCCTTTTGTGCCTAATTTCACAACTATCTTCAGAAAAGTGCCGCATACATCATCACTGTTATTATCATCAGTATGCTAAGCTACTGTTTGAGGACTTTGTTAAACTGTCCCAAAGCAACAAATCTGAGGAGTGATTACAAGACAAACACTGTAATCCTTAACAAGACAAAATAAAGCTGAAGCTGTTCTGTTTTTGTTCTCATTCCAAACTGATTTTTGATTTTTAAAAAGTGGATAAATTCTCGAGAAAGAAACACAAAAAGAAACAAAGTCGACAAAATAAGTTCAGTGCAGTCGGAGATTTCGAGCTCTTGCAGAAGACAAACAGTCTGAAGTTTGGTTTAACGGGGATCGACGTGGACGCGATGCTTTTTGCACCCACACCTCCCACGGCTGCAGAGGCAGTAAATAGTTGAGCCACGAGGGAGTTTAGCGGAGGACCATGTCAGTCGGAGTGAGTAATCACTTTACACAAGCTTGATCCTCACAGATGGAGGAGAGGTCAGGAGGAGGGGGGAGCTGAATTATTAAAGCCCCCTCCAGCAGCAGCAGGTCACGTCAGGTGTACGGCAGCAGTGATGGAGCGGAGCTGGGAGTTACTGCCACATCTCCAGACAGCGTCGTGATAATAATCACTGCTGATGGGAAATCCAGTGTAAATTTATAGCACCGATACAATCAAACTTGTGTCAGACGCACCAATCTGCTGCTCTGAGTTTCTTCCTTTTTTTTATAGAAAGATCTTTTTTTTTATTATTATTTCCAGATGTTTCCAGTCTGCAGTTTGGTTCTTTTTTATTGTTAATCAACCACCATCCATCAAAGGTGGCCCCTCTGTAGCTGATTGCACCTACAGAGCTGCTGGACGTCCACTTTTTTCTGAAACATCTGCGGCAGAAAAAGTCACTGACATCAGCATTTGCAGCACGTAGTGGAAGTAAGAGAGTTAATTGAGCCGTTAGCATTAACGACAGAAGCACCGACAGAGCTGCAGATTCGACTTTCAAACCAAATTTACAGTACAGGTGCATCGTGACTTCACATTTTGTCTCGAGGACTCGACCTGAACTCGTCATGAGGACACGAGATCTCACTTGTTTGCAGTGACCTCAGATCTGGACGCATTTCAGAGATGTTGATCTGTTTCAAACAAACAGTGGTGTGTCGTCAGGGCAGCAAGGCCTTCTCTGCTGGCCTAGACTCCATCAGAATCACTGACTTACGTTGTAGTAGTTTCCCATTAGTCTTTTTACTTTATTCCTGATAGTCTATTCTCTTCATTTCATAGCGTGTCTCTGTGCTGTGGTGCTTCCAGCAGCGTATGTTTATGTTGGAGCTTTTATCCAATCATATTTCAGCCATCATGTGTTGCCGGGTCACAGAAATCTGCCCTGAGGCCTTCAGAATCAAAAGTGCAGGCGCCTGTACTTTAAATGCATCACAATGAAACTGTTGCTTTAACCAATCAGATTGAGAGTTGGTGGTCCCAGGACCAGCTGGCCTATGATGATGTCAGCACTTTCACGTCCTCTGATTGGATGGTCAGAGAGCTCAGCCAAAGCTAGTGGTTCCTGTCTGTAGCAACCTGCACAAGCTAAAACTTCATCGTAAAAGTAGAGTTTAAAAAAAAAAAATTAAGTTAAGCAAGCGGACATTCTCAGCCTTAGAGCAAATTAAAACTTATGCCAGAAACACAACTAGACAGACCGAACTTTCAGCATTAGTCTCCATGGAGATAAATCAGGACTTATTGTTGGAAGTGAAACACATGGATTAGCTGCTCAACAGAGTGACTGAACTGTTAATGATGAAAGAAAGAAGCATGTTTGTGTTCAAATAATAGAAAGTTTTGGTCAGTAAAATATATATTTAGTCATTTTATTGGGTTGATATTGATGTTCCTGCTAGATGTGATGCATGTGGTGCAGCTGTGGCTGTGGTTAACGGAGACTTGTTGAATTGTTGTAACTGGGTTTCTTGCTATAGTGATGGCATTTATTCTCACCACATGAGATACCTGTCTGTGGTGCAACATCGTGTTATGCTGCCTTTCTGCACAATACTGATGGTGTGTAGAGCAGTGACGTCATAATGAAGGTGTTAAGAGGTGGTTTGATTCAGGTAGGACGCCACTGAAGGCCGAGGAGTAAAATGCACGGCCCATCAGTGGTTTCAAATAACTTTGATAGAAATGTTTAAAGCACTTTGACTTGTTTCAGGTGGACTTGACTTAACTTGAGCTTGTTTAAAGCTACTGGAGACCTGGATTTGTTTCAAATCAACACAGACTTGATTTAGATTTTTTTTGAACTAATGACATGACATAAGCTTTTTAAGTGACTTGACACTTGTCTTGTTTTAGTGACGCATGACTTGAAGCTGTTTAGGACATGACCATCTGTTGTACATGCTTCAGTTTACTCATGATCTCACTTGATCATAATGACTCAAAACTTAAGTTAAACTAATTTCAAATGACCCCAAAATGGACTCAAACTTGTTTCAAATGACACAAGTTTGAATTACCTGACATTTACCTTAAATTTGCTATAAAGGACTCGTGTCTCGAACTTAAAAAAAAAC